TATATACAGTATATATATATATATACGAGATACATTTTTATAAATAGTGTGTTCAAAAGTACAGCATTTATTTCTCAATTTGAATTTGTACATTCATTCAATAGATGGATGGAGGATAGATAGAGGAAGAGACCGAAACAATTAGACATGCAATTGACATGCAACAGGCAAACTAAGTGTGCATCTCCCGGTCATTCTGGAAGGACAAGGTTATGATAACTTTCCCCTGCTTTATTAAAGGACTGAGAGTAGACATGGCTGCAGAGATTCCCTCAGGACAAGAGTTCAAGCTAAGATAATTAACCCATCCAGTGTCATTGGCAGGCTTAGTCCGTGAGTCTGGTCCAGTCACCTCTTCTGTCTGTCCATATGGAAAACGCCTAATTCATGCTAAGTAATATATAGTCTGTGCATCTAAACCCAATATGGACATTCTCCATATACTATAGAGAGACAGTTATATATCTGGGCTATGATCAAACACTACATTAACCTTTTTTTTGTATTTACATTTAACATTCAATTAAGCACTGATATTTACATATTGGGATCATTCATTATGTGCCAACACTGTACATACAAATGTGTACTGTCATGTCAAATGTGTGGATTTGACATATAGCTAGGGTTGGGTATCGTTTGGATTTTTTTCGATACCGGTGCCAAATCGATACTTTTAAAACGGTTCCGCTGCCTAAACGGTGCCTGAACCGATACTTATTAAAAAATCCCCCAAAAAATGATGGATTGGCCATTAGAATAGAAATAGAATAGAGAGTGCAAATGTTAGAGGGTTAAGTTTTTTAATTAAAAAAACAAGCAGATAAAATTAGAAGTAGCATTAGAATAGAGAGTGCTAGGGTCAAATGAAGATGAAAGAGATGTGTTTTCAGCCGTTTCTTGAAAATATTAAGGACTCAGGAGTGCGTGTGATCGCGAAATCGAAAGTGAAAGTAAACAGCGCAAACGCTCATTCAAAAATATTTAAATACACCGCATTCTGAGAGCGGCTCCCTGATGCGCCAAAATTATACACATTATTAGAATGTTTAAAGGAGTGGACACGAAAATCGCGGGAGCGGGCGGCAATGGTCAGAGATTCAGCGGGAGCGGGATTAAGAAAACAGCCGAATCCCGGACATTTTGGGCAATTAAGAAATCCCGGCCGGACGCATTTTTGTTGGTCCAAAAAGAAGACATGTCCGGGGAAAAGAGGACGTACGGTCACCCTAATTTATAATCTATTGCTAATCGATGTATTCTTTTTAAAGTAGCATATGGAACTTATTTTATGCCTCATTCTGTGACAAGAAGCCTCATCAGATCACAAAAGGAAGCATTTGACTGGTGTTGTGGAGTAAAAAGGTTATAAT